TTTCCTCAAATATCAGAAACAAGAAAACAATGCCCACTCTTGCCAGTTTTATTCAGCATAGTATTAGAAGTCTTAAACAAAGCAATTACGGAAGAAAAAAGAAATAAAAAGCATCCAGATTGGAAAGGAAGAAGTAAAACTGTCACTTTTTGCAGATGACATGATAACTATATATAGAAAACCCTAAAGGCTCCACCAAAAAAACTATTAGACCTAATAAATGAATTCAGTAAAGTTGCAGAACACAAAATTAACATAGAGAAATTGATTGCATTTAGATATGCTAATAACAAGCTTCAGAAAGAGAATTAAGAAAAGAATCCCATTTATAATTGCATTAAAAAGAATAAAATACTTAGTAATCAGTTGAACCAAGAAGGTAAATGATTTATACTCTGAAAGCTATTGATGAAAAAAATTGAAGGTGACACAAATAAATGGAAAGATATATTGAGCACATAGATTGGAAGAATTAATATTGTTAAAATGTCCATGCTAAGGATGGTACAACATTCGAAAATCCATCAACATCATACACCACGTCAACAAAAAGGACAAAAACCACATGATTATCTCCATAGATGCTGAAAAATCATTCGACAAAATTCAACATCCATTCATGATAAAAACTCTCAATAAAATGGGTATAGAGGGCAAGTATCTCAACATAATAAAGGCCATATATGACAAACCCACAGCCAACATCATACTGAACAGCAAGAAGCTGAAAGCTTTTCACCTGAGATCGGGAACAAGACAGGGATGCCCACTCTCCCCACTTTTATTCAACATAGTGCTGGAGGTCCTAGCCACAGCAATCAGACAAAGCAAAGAAATACAAGGCATCCAGATTGGTAAAGAAGAAGTCAAACTGTCACTATTTGCAGATGACATAACATTGTACATTTAAAAACCCTAAAGAATCCATTCCAAAACTACTAGATCTAATATCTGAATTCAGCAAAGTTGCAGGATACAAAATTAATACACAGAAATCTGGTGCTTTCCTACACATTAATGATGAACTAGCAGAAAGAGAAATCAGGAAAATAATTCCATTCACAATGGCATCAAAAAGAATAAAATACCTAGGAATAAACCTAACCAAGGAAGTGAAGGACTATACCCTGAAAACTATAAGACACTCTTAAGAGAAATTCAAGAGGACACTAACAAATGGAAACTCATCCCATGCTCCTGGCTAGGAAGAATTAATATCGTCAAAATGGCCATCCTGCCCAAAGCAATCTACAGATTCAATGCAATCCCTATCAAAATACCAACAGCATTCTTCAACGAACTGGAACAAATAGTTCTAAAATTCATATGGAATCACAAAAGACCCCAAATAGCCAAAGCAATCCTGAGAAGGAAGAATAAAACAGGGGGGATTTCCCTTCCCAACTTCAAGCTCTACTACAAAGCCATAGTAATCAAGACAATTTGATACTGCCACAAGAACAGACCCACAGACCAGTGGAACAGAATAGAGAGACCAGATATTAATCCAAACATATACGGTCAGTTAATATATGATAAAGGAGCCATGGATATACAACAACTGGAATTGGCAAAACTGGACAGCTACATGTAAGAGAAGGAAACTGTATCATTGCCTAACCCCATACACAAAAGGAAATTCAAAATGGATCAAAGACCTGAATGTAAATCATGAAACCATAAAAATCTTAGAAAAAAACATAGGCAAAAATCTCTTGGACATAAACAAGAGCAACTTCTTCATGAACATATCTCCCCGGGCAAGGGAAACAAAAGCAAAAATGAACAAGTGGGACTATATCAAGCTGAAAAGCTTCTGTACAGCAAAGGACACCATCAATAGAACAAAAAGCCATCCTACAGTATGGGAGAATATATTCATAAATGACAGATCCGATAAGGGGTTGACATCTAAAATATATAAGGAGCTCATGCACCTCAACAGACAAAAAGCAAATAATCCAATTAAAATATGGGCAGAGGATCTGAACAGACACTTCTCCAAAGAAGAAATTCAGATGGCCAACAGGCACATGAAAAGATGCTCCACATCACTAATCATCAAAGAAATGCAAATTAAAAACACAATGAGATATCACCTCACGCTAGTTAGGATGGCCACCATCCAAAAGACAAACAACAAATGTTGGCGAGGATGTGGAGAAAGGGGAACCCTCTTACACTGCTGGAGGAAATGTAAATTAGTTCAACCATTGTGGATAGCAGTATGGAGGTGCCTCAAAATACTAAAAATAGAAATAGCATTTGACCCAGGAAGTCCACTCCAAGGAATTTACCCTAAGAATGCAGCAGCCCAGCTTGAAAAAGACAGATGCACCCCTATGTTTATCGCAGCACTATTTACAATAGCCAAGAAATGGAAGCAACCTAAGTGTCCATCAGTAGATGAATGGATAAAGAAGATGTGGTACATATACACAATGGAATATTATTCAGCCATAAGAAGAAAAAAAATCCTACCATTTGCAAAAACATGGTTGGAGCTAGAGGGTATTATGCTCAGTGAAATAAGCCAGGTGGAGAAAGATAAGTACCAAATGATTTCACTCATCTGTGGAGTATAGGAACAAAGAGAAACTAAAGGAACAAAACAGCAGCAGAATCACACAACCCAAGAATGGACTAACAGTTACCAAAGGCAAGGGGACTGGGGAGGATGCGTGGTAAGGAAGGAATAAGGGGAATAAGGGGGCATTACTATTAGTGGACATAATGTAGGGGGGCGCATGGGAAGGGCAGTGTAACACAGAGAAGACAAGTAGTGATTCTATAGCATCTTACTACACTGATGGACAGTGACTATAATGGGGTATGTGGGGGGGATTTGATGATGGGAGGCATCTAGTAAACATAATGTTGCTCATGTAATTGTAGATTAATAATACCAAAATAAATAGATAGATAGATAGATAGATAGATAGATAGATAGATAGATAGATAAATAAAAGTCCATGCTACCCAAAACAATCCACAGATTCAATGCAATCCCTATCAAAATACCAAGGGCATTTTTCACAGAACTAGAACAAAGAATCCTAAAATTTGTATGGAGCCACAAAGGACCTCAAATAGCCAAAGAAATCTTGAGAAAAAAAGAACAGAACTGGAATTAACATGCTCCCTGATTTCAAACTACAAAGCCATAGTAATCAAAACAGTATGGTACTGGCATGAAAACAAACATACACATCAATGGAATAGAATAGAGAGCCCAGAAATAAACCCAGGCATATATATGGCACATTTTTTTGAAAAAGGAGGAAGAATATGAATGAAAGAAAAAACAGTCTCTTCAATAAATGATGTTGGGAAAACTAGACAGCTACATGCAAAAGAGTAAATCAGGACCATTATATTACACCATATACAAAAACAAATTCAAAACGGATTAAAGACTCGAATGTAAGACCTGAAACCATAAAATGCCTGGAAGACAGCATAGACAGGAAGCTCTTTGACATCAGTCTTGGCAATATAAAAAATATTGCGAATATTGGGCCAATCTCCTCACTTAAGGGCAACAAAAAACTAAAGTAACAACTGGGATTTCATTAAACTAAAAAGCTTCTGCACAGCAAAGGAAACCATCAACAAAACAGAAAGGCAATCTACTGAATGACAGAAGATATTTGCAAATCATACATCCAATAATGGGTTCATATCTAAAATATATAAAGAACTTAATATCAGGAAAAAAAAACAACCTTATTAAAAAATGGGCAGAGGACTTGAATAGACATTTTTCCAAAGAAGACATACAAATGACTAACAGGCATATGAAACGATGCTCAACATCACTCATCATCAGGGAAATGCAAATCAAAACCACAATGTGCTATCACCTCACTTTGGTCAGATCCTTGGCTAGGCAGGCAGCTTGCAAATGCCATCCACAGACACACTGTGGGCACACTTCTGCCCTGGGTCCGTCAAGCTTTGGTTTGGGGTCTTCACAGTCAGGCTCCTGGAACTTGAAAATCCTGTTCTCACTGACAAAGCCTGACTCTTGCTATCATAGCTATCACTGGCTATCCCCAGTATTCTGTGTTCTAGGAATTTAAACTTTGATTTAATAAGAGCAAGTAGCATTTATTGAAGTGTTTACTGCTGACCAGCCACTGTTCTAGTACTTTACATCTATTAATTTATTTGATCCTCATGACTTCTTCTGGTGCTATTACTGGCATCCCCATTTTAGACTGGAACCCAAGAAACAAGTAACTTGTCCAAGATCACATAGCTTAGTGGTAGGTGCAAAGCCAACCTTGAATTCTGGCCAACTTGGCCCCAGGGCCCTAATTGTAACTATGTGTCTTTTCTTTTATTAGTATCTTTGGTTCGTTCACTTTGTTCAGTGTAAAAAGAAAGGTGCAGGGGAGAGCTTAGAAGGTCATGGAAAATAAGCCAGGTGCATGTCTCCCAGTTTTATCCCAAGAAGAACAAAGCTGTCTGTGTAAAAATGCCCATGTGTATCATTGTAATTGCAGTGGCCTTGTAGCAAAATGGTGGAAGGAATCGAAAAGGCCATGGTAGAGGACAAATCTGATTAACTTGGCCTGAGATCAGCTCTCTGTGGAAGTGTGACAGGGGGTGCACCCTGTCCTACCCTGCCCACCTACTCTGCCCTCAGGACATGCAGACCCTTTTCAGCTCCTGGGGCCTCCCCTATCCCTCTCAGCCCCTACCTAGACCTCTACCCCCTGCACCCCAACCCTTGTGACACCCCCTCCTCCCTGCAGGTCCCCTGCCCCCCACGTGGTCTGCTCAGCCCCCTCCCATAATGCCCCCCTGGGGTCTCCAGCCTGCACAGCCCCTCCTGCCCCACCCTCCGGGACCGGGGTCTCCTCCCAACAACGTTCATATTGTCCCCTAAACCCGGGATCTCCCCCACCACCAGTCCCTGCCAGTGTCCTATCCTGATGGTTCCACAAGTGCTCAGAACCTCTTCCTCCTCCGGGGGTCTTACCTTTGACTTACAGGGCCTGCCTAGCCCCTTCCTGCGCTGCCCATCACAGCGACTCCTGGACCGTGTGGTCCGGCGCTATGCAGAGGTGGCCGACGCAGGCAGCATCTTCATGGACCACTTCACTGACCGTGACAAGCTGCGTCTGCTCTACACGCTGGCTGTCAACCCGCATCCCATCGTGCTACAGGTAGGCAGCCACCCCAGGACGTGGAAGGGGTTCATGTCAGGCTCTAAAGGAGAAGCCCTGGATTGAGCTCTTGTCCCCTTTACCGCTCACCTTGGAGCCACCAGCCCCTGTTAGTACCTCTGTGGCATTCAGTAAATACCTGTTGGCTTTTGCAGTGGGAAAGCGCTGTGATGCTGTAGAGGAAAGAGGTGCGGGAGCTGGGGGCGGGTGGGGAGAGGGGCGACAATAGCCTCGTGCATTGCCTAAGGCAGCCCTGAGGGATTTTGTGAAAGAGGGCAACTTTGACCTGTTCCTCAAAGATCAATAAGATTTGAGCAAGCTCAGGAGGTGGGCAAATAGCCAAAGAATGACCCGCCTGTTAATGCTTGGAGAGGAGAAAACAAGTGGAAGTTACCTGAATGCCCAGCAATAGGGAAGTGGTCACATAACGAGGGTGCACTGGAACCCGGGGACGCACTGGTCAGTAACACAGACATGGTAATCCCTGACTTCATGCAGCTTCCAGTTCAGTGGAAGAAGCAGACACTTAACAAGTCAGCAAGCATCGTAGAGCATGTGGAGCCCAATCACACCAATTTCCCCCAAATCCCAAGTCAGAACACTCCCAGAGTGGGTATGAAGGATGTTAGGAAGTGGGAGGACAAAGCAGAGAAAGGGAGAGGAGTATGGAGAGGAGGAGGGAGGGGAGGACAAGAAGAAGGAAGAAGAATAAGGGAAAAGGGAAGAAGCTATTAAATATAATTATGTACATCATATAATTATATATTACATATTATTTTATAATGTGATTAGTTATATAACCTATAGAATGATATATAATTATATATGTTGTACTATAATTATATATAACTATTGTATGTAATTATATGTTACCTGCATGTTATTATTATATATAATATAAAAATCACCTATTATTGGCCAAAGAGAGGATAGCTAAATGCATAATCACAACTCTCACTTACTGAGCATCTGCTATGTGCCAGGCAGGGTGTGGAACGTTTTACATCACTATCTCATTTACCGCTCACAACTCGACAGCCCCACGGGCATATTATTATTTGTCCCCTGTTCCAGACAAGGTAAGTGGGGCCCAGAGATGTGAACTGACTCGGTGCCAGTCACTTAGGCAATGTCAGCAATGGAATCCAAACCCAGAACTGTGAACTCAGGTTCTGCCCTCTTTCCACTAAAACATGCCTAGTAATGTTGGCATTCTGAATCCTAGAGGGGCAAGAGGCAGCTGGTTGTCCTGCACCCCCGGGCGTCTTCTCCCATTGTCCTGACCTTGGCAGTGGCAGCAGATCCTGGCTGCTCCCAGCCCTGGCTCCTGAGAGCCTTGGGCCGGGACCCTCCATCCACCTGGGGCTCCACCAAGGAAGGGGATGACTCTGTAGCCACACATTTAGATGCTGCCAAGAGGCTGGGCCCTCCCTCCATAGCATGTAGTGGGAGAGGTCCCTGGAAAATGGGAAACAGGACAGCATCCTTTACAAGGTGGCAGATGGGTTAAAATGGGTCAAAGGCCACAGAAAATCATCAGAGAGGGGAATGACTTTGTTTTTTTAAAGAAAAACAAGAAAGAAGGTGCTAAGTTATGTACGGTCTCTGTCATTTCCCTGTAGTTTAAAGAAATACCATTCTAGATGTAGTCAATAAGTAGTCAAGAAAAGACCAGCCAGGATTCCCTCCTGTTTTTCATTTTACAAATCCACAAGTTTGGCGCTCTTACTAGAACATGGAGGAGACCTTCCTGGGCTATGGGCTTCCCTAGAACTGTGTTAGGAACTGGAAGGTTACAGTCAGTGGGGGAGCATCTGTGAGGAGGTAGTTACCCAGGCCAGGTAGATTCGCTCAGCGCCAATGCAGTGGTTCTTGAAACTAGTCACCAAGGACCACTTTCATGATTTTTTCCCTATCCCAGAACCGGTGTCTCTACTGTTATTTTTAAAAATACTTTTCTTTAAATCAGCCTTAAGTTGACCCTCTTTCTTCCCCCAAGCCTCTTCCAAAGCTGCAATATCTGTGAAATCTCAAATACTGGTCATATTTTTTTTCATCTGTCCAGCTCTTAAAAATTAATACATTCCCCAGAATCCTGAACACCATCTAAGTGCATTAGCATTTTCATACCTTGCTTGGGAAAACTCCACTGAAATGCAATCCACTGTGTGACAATAAGAACTTCCTTTTTTGAATTCTTCCATCAACAGAGGAATAAAAAAAAAGGAGGAGGGACAGGGCTACTGCCATGTCGCAAGAGGTAAATAAAGGTTGTGCTTTGCTGATGTTTTGGGAAATGAAGGGTGCCTGTGTGAGGCTGAACTTTGGGTGTGCTCTGGTGAGAAGCAGAGAGAGTGCTGTCTCTGTGAGTTTTTGTCTCTATTCCTCTGATGCCCCCTCCTCCCGGCTCGGCAGATCTTCCCTGGTGCTGAGGGATGGCCGATGCCCAAGTACCTGGGCTCATGTGGCCGATTCCTGGTCAGCACGAGCACCAGCCCGCTGCAGGAATTCTATGCTGCACCCCCCAACCAGGCAGCCGACCTGGCCTACCAGCTCCTCGGTGTCCTGGAGTCTCTGAGGAGCAACGATTTGAACTACTTCTTCTACTTCACCCACGTTGATGCGGGCATGTTTGGCATCTTTAACAATGGGCAACTGTTCATCCGGGATGCCAGCGCACTGGGTGTCATCGACAAACAGGAAGGTATCTAGCATGGGCCTGGTGGGGCAGCTGTCACAGGGGAAGCCAAGATGACAGGAGCTGGGGAGGAATGATGGGGCATCCCACCATGGAGTACACACAGTGTCCATGTGTCACAGTGAGAACAGCTGCAGTTCGGGGGATGTCAGTGCTCTCTGAGGAACTGTTGTTGTCCAGTTGGGTCTGTGTGGCCTGGGGACCTGCCCCTCCTCACACACACATACAGCCCCCAGAAGCATCTCGCCCTCAGAGCCTCTCATCAGATGCTTTTAGCCTTGATCCCAAACTTAAATATCTGGCTGATTCACAGGGACATTTTGTAATCCATTTTGGCACCTTTGCTTCTTATAAAGCTTTCAAATTAAAAGCCTGGCACCAAATGAAGCAAATGAGTGAATCGTGTTTCTGTGTGCACAAGCTCGCCCAGGGTTCTAGAGCCCTTTGAACAACCCAATCTTCAGCAATAACCACATTTTCTGAGTCCAGTAATAGGACAGGATTTTCTTCTCTGATGTCTGATTTTGTATTTATGAGAAGGCCTACACGATTACCAAGAATCAAATTAGAAGAAATGAAGATGATTCCAGAATAGTCATGATAAGTAAACCACTGAATGTCAGGCCCACTACAACCTGTTGAATGCACATTCTGGATTACCTGTTCTTCTTTTTCCTGCCTTTGTATTTCAAAAGGGCAAATGAAACTGCTTCTAGTAATTTCCTGAGTTCCCAAGAATCACAATAGGGATGTGAACCCGACAATTAGCACCCCAGCTTCCAGTAGGGATGAGTGGTTTTTCCACGCCCAGGCCTCATCCTACTGGAGTGGAGAGCTCCTCCACTGTTCGTCTCAGCAGGGCCATTGTGTCCCTGAGCACTAAATCTCTGGGCAACAGGACACACTGGAGACTAAACCACTTCAGCCAGCTCTTTTAGTGGCACCTGCCTGCAGGAGGACAGGGTGTAAGGTGTCTAATGCCTCCCCTTTCTCTTCCAGGCAACCAAGCAGCTTCCAGGGCAGGAGACAGTAAAGACATCTTCAGTTGCCTGGTGTCTGGCTGCCAGGCTGAGCTGCCCCCCTGCAACAGCATCCCTGAGAAGCAGGGCCTGGTGCTGGCATGCGGGCAGGTGCTGCCCCGACTTCTCCATGGCAAGTTCCCATCTCCAGTGCAGCAGGAGATAGATGCGGCACTCGCCCGGTGTGGGGAGGCCGCCCGCCCTGACCCCGACGTCCTGGGGGCCGCCAGCCGGCTGAAGGACATCTTGAGGCCCTTGAGGACCTGTGACCCCAGATTTGCCTACCGCTACCCAGACTGCAAGTATAATGATAAGTTCTGAGGGGCCAGAGCCTTGCTGGCCCCCGGGAGGATGACCTGGGCCTTTTGTTGCCTGGTGGGGTTGCTGCCAGGTTTAAAGAAGCAGCTCATTTTAGGCATTAGGAGAAATGCATTTTCATTTCCCAGGGACTAAGGAACACTTGGAAGGCCAGTGGGGAGCTGGGTGACAGGGCACAATTGTCCTCTGGCTGAGATGACGTGCTAGAGCCCAGGGGTGGCCATCAGACGATGAGGGTGTAGATGCTTGCTGGACCTCTTTGCACTTCAGTTTCCTCTGTTCTCCACCAGACTCTCAAGCTGGTGAAAGAAGACAGACAGGTGAAGGGCCAGAGACACATGCTCTCTCCTCCCATCCCAGTGGTTACAGAGTGTCCCAGAAACATTCACAGGCAGGGCGAATGAGACAGAGCTGTGGAGGGAAGGCATGGGAATCTGAGGCCCCTGCCAGTGCCACATTAGACTCGGACAAGAGGGGCCCCTTCCTGCTCCTTGTGGCCCTGCACATGCCCTCCTGCAACACTCCCCACCCCACCTCAGAGTGATGAGAGGCTGTGCAGGCAGAAGCAAGCCCTTGGGTGCCAAATAGGACCCCAAAGGTATGCGCAAGTCACCCAGAGGTGTGGGAAGGAGCCAGGGCGAAGAAGACAAGGGTGTGGGCTGGGAACCAATGTGTTTGCCCAGGACCCTGAGAAGCAGGTGTCAAGACCGGATGAAACCAGCAAGGACTGTATTAGGGAACCTGCCTGTGTGGGAGGAGGAGGGAGCCAGAGAGAGCTGGCAGAGCCAACAGGCCATGCTACAGGTCTGAGCCCAAGTCTGGGAGAGAAGGCCAGATGGGAGCATCCCAGCCTGGCATCTGTGCCATCTGGGAGGTTCAGCCTGGCTGTCAGGGTGTCCTTGAGGGGAACCAGAGGTGAAGGTGCCCTGAGTCTCCCAAGAAAGGACAACCCTCATATCTCCGCTGCACTCAGTTGTCGGCAGGAAACAGCCCACGGGAAGCATGACCTCATCCCAAATGCACAGATGGATTTCAAAGCACGCACAGGGTCCCAGGCCAGTTCTGCTCCCTGGAGCCTGTGGTCTGTAAGTAGAACATTCTCATCATAGGCACAGCTGGGGCCGGGGCCAGCTCTCTCCACACCTCGGTCTCTAGTGCAGGGCTCAAAGGAGTCTGAGAATTTTCATTCAAACTTAGCCTTTTGGGTCATTATAAAAATAGTTTTTCAAGGTCAGCCAATGCAACATACTGCACTCAACAGCTTATGAGTTTGCTTTACACCGTTAGCCATGTGGTATGTGGGCTTCCATGTGTGTTCTTGCCTTGGAGAATTGGATGTTATTGGAGGCTCTTTGGACCTTTGCCCAGCCTCCCTGCCAGCCCTCTACCTCCCGGGACCTCTCCCTTTTCTACCTCTGAACCACCACCTTCAGATTAGACTGCCTGGCTTTCACAGGCTTCATGCTGCAGACAGGAAACTGAGGCAGGAGCAAGAGGCACTCGCTGGGATAGTTTCAGAACTCCTGCTACCAGTCCACGTTCTTCTTACCTTCCCCTTCAGCCTCAACTCACCTTGTCCTCCCCAGTTCTGGTCCCTTCACTCACATTTAAAGATGGGCCAAGAAAAGTCCTACTTTGTGGTCCATGAAGATGCCTTTGGGGTTTGCCTTTTGGCTGCTCCAGCATTACCCCCAGGGCAACTGGGACAGTGAGGTAACAGGCCAAGCTTCTGGAAGGGCAGGCTTGGGTTGTGTGAGAGTCTTGGAGACACTTGCCTCTGGCTTGGTCTGGATGGTGAGGATTGACCACCCCTCCCAATGCCTTGTTTTCAGCTCAGTGGAACTGATCTTAGACTTCTGGCCTTCAGAACTATGAGAGAATAAATGTCTTCTGTTTTAAGCCACCTATGTTGCAGTGACTTGCTATAGCAGACTCAGGAAACAAGCAAACACCTCTAACTCCATCCTAGTGTCTGCTTCCAGAAAACCCAACTGCAATAGTCCCCAGCTCCAGTTTGTGGTGATGGGCTCAAAAGCCCCACCCAACATGGGGGGATGTGTTATAGATCTGTCCCCAGAGCTGTGACTTGGATGGTTCCATTCTTCTGCTTGCTAAGTCCCATGCATCATTTAAGACCTTTTCCTGAGTTCTAGCTTTTCCTGACAGCCCAGCTCCCAGCAAACCCATTCTGAATCCCATCTCTGTACCCTTGAACCTCAGGACTGTGCCCCACTTGAGGCTAAGCCCAAGGATATTCCAGAGAGGTCTATGTCCCACCTTCCCATTCATCTGGGAGCTCCCTGAGGATGGAAGTGGCAGGGGGCCCCTTGTGCTCCCCATAGCAACCAGCACAGGGCTGGATGCATAGCAGATGCTCAAAAATTTTCCTGCTGCAGTCAATGACTGCATTCTTCAGCCCTTTTTGCTTGGTGTTTTGCATACACCATGTGCTACAGACTGAACGTTTGTATCCTCCCAAATTCATATGTTGAAAACCCAACCTCCAATGTGATAGCATTAGGAGGTGGGGCCTTTGGGAGGTGGTGAGGTCATAAGGGTGGAGCCCTCATGAATGAGATCAGTGCCCTTATACAAGAGACCTGGGGAAGCTCTCGGGCCCCTTCCACCTTGTGAGGACACTGTGAGAACACGGACATCTGTGAGCCAGGAGGCAGGCTCTCACCAGACACTGAATCTCCAGCACATTGAACTTGGACTTTCCAGCCTTCAGAACTGTGAGGAATAAATGTTTGTTGCTTATAAGCCACCGGTCTATGGTATTTTGTTACAGCAGTTCAAACAGACTGAGACAACATGCCAGTCATAAACAGGACAGAGCCACTTCCTTGAGAACAGCTCTTCTCCTGCAACAGCCAGGAGCCAGGTGAGCCAGCACTCCAGAGACTTCAGCCAGAGCAACAGCATCATGGTATAGTCTCAGGCCCCCAGAATGTGACTGGAGGCATTAGAGTATTTTTCTGAATTTTGTCAGCCACTGCCTTTTGGCCTGCAGGACTGGCTACATAATTTGTGGGGCCTAGTGAAAAATGAAAATGTGGGGCCTCCTATTATTAAGATTTGCAAGATGGGGACAGCAGAGCATCGTTAAACTAAGCACAGGCCCTGTAGGACAGCGTAGGTTGCATGCCCACAGCGCCAGCCCTGGATGTCTGAGAATACTAATTATCCTTAACCTTGGTGTAGAGTGTTCTTGGGGTTGACTGGGGTCTCACTGGACCTCCACAACCAGGGATATGTGTGGGGTCAGAGGTGATATATATTTAAGAACCGCCACGGCAAAGGAACTGACCTATGAGAACAAACTCTGCTGGCTGCAGCTGTGAGATGGGCATAACCACAGCCCTGTGGGCAAATCCTAGTTTTCACATGAGGAAACTGCTTCAAGTGATTTGCTCAAAATGACAGTTTTTAGGTCTCCCGCTTTCACAGTCCCCCACTGCAGCATCCAACTCCTGCTTATGAGAGATTCTGTGAGCCTGAACATTTCTTGTAGAGTTAAAATAAATACTTTGTTGGATTTGTGTCCTTTTTGGAAATATCTAGAATCCTGGAATCAGACAGATCTGGTTTTAAGTCATGACTCTGCTGGTTACTGTGTAACCTTGGGCAAGTTGCTTCACCTCTCTGAACCTCAATTTCCTCACGCATAAAATAGGGAGAAAAAGATTTACCCTTGCAGGGTTATTGTCCTATTTAAAGAATACAATGTCTTGAGCCTGGCACATACAGGTGCTCTGTACGCAAAGGCCAATGTAGGCACACAACAGGATTTCCCAGCAGAAGGGGCTCTTCACAGAGTTAAGGCAAAGGCTACAGCCTCTTGGGAGAGACCCCGATCCCTACCTAAGCCCTTCTCCAGCCCGGAGAAACCACCAGGATTCCACAGGTTGATACACAGTCTGACTGGGGCAATTTTTCTTCCCTCCCACCATCTAGACTTTGAGTTGACCCTGAATGGCAGCTGGGCAGCTGCTACAGTTACCACCCTAGCCCAGCCCTCCACCAGGCTCAGAGGGAATCCTCCCCAAGCAGGTACTGTTAGGAGCCTTGGGACATCCATCTGCACTCCTTACTGAAGAGCAATGAGGAAGCTACCTTGGCTCACTGAAAGCTCCAGGCTCACTGCCTGTGCGTGGCAGTGTGACTTTTCTGCCCCCTTCAGACTTGTTGTCTACAAATATTGGCACAGCTGGGCTCAACTGCCCAGAGGTGTACTCCATCTGCCTGCAGCTCTTTATGGCATTTTTTAAGAACAGTTGCAGTTGCAGGCTACATGGGAGGTCAGGACCAGGCAGGGGTCCCTGAATTTGCAGATATAATGACCCCTACAAAGGCAACTTAGAGGAATACGCCAACAAAGTGGAGCTGGGCAACCAGTTCAAAAAGCTCTTTGTAGAAGCAGACAAGTAGAGGGAGCATCCCCATTCCCTTAAGGTGGCCAGAGCACAGCCTCAGGCTCCCGCTGTGACACTGGAGGTAGTGGGGTAGCGTAGAGAGAGTGGGAGCCCTGGAAGCAGACATGCCTGCTTGCATATCCTGTGCCAGCCCCTTTAGCAGAAGTCAGTGCATCCAAGTTATTTGCTAAGGTGTACTTTGTAATCGCAAAAGGTGGAAACAACCTACGTGCCCGTACATGGGAGAGTGGCTGAATAAACTGCATTGTCTCCACATAGTGGAGGGCTATGCACTTCTATAAATGAAGGAGGAAGACGGCTTTGGAATGATTTGTGAGATAGACTGTTAAGTGAGAGAAAAAAAGCACAGCACACAAGGGTATTTATAGGATGCTACCCTCTGTGTGAGAAAGAAGGTGGTATAAGAAAACATTCATGTATTCTCTCACTTGTGATGCAGAAAAAAATTGTATATATATTCATATATATATATATATATATATATATATATATCAAAAGCTAATGAGATTGCTTGCCCTCAATGGGTCGGTGAGAATGGGGTGGAAGAAGGGAGGAGTGGGAAGGGGGTAGTAGAGATGAGGAGGGAGTGAAACTTTTGTTTTGTATAAATCTGACTCTTGGAACCATGGGAATGTCTAACATAACCCACAAGTAAATAATTATGATCAACCAGGATGTGAGCTGAACTAAAATGAAATACCAACAATAACAAATGTACATGACTGTATATGACAAATGAATAAAATAACTACACCCAGAACTAGCCTAAGTAACTTGGAAAGTAAGTGTTTTGACTACATTGGAAAAGGTTAAAGCCAGAAAGAAGTGTACACTCACTTTAAAATGGTTAATTTTACATGACGTGGATTTCACCTCAATTTAAAAAGAGAGGAGAAAAAGAACCATACACAAAAATTGTGCTCTAGTTAGTAAATATTTTTCCTGTGGGGAAATGGGTTAGCAATTCTGAAACTACTTAATGCATTGACCAAGTAAGTAAACATATTGTGGATAATGAGAGGCAGGCTTCTCACCACTGGAGAAAGGAGTTATGAGTGAGGAAATAGCGAAGGCAAATTCAAACACTGTAATGTTATCCTGGAATTGGAAGTATCACTATGAACTTGAATTTTTTATATTTATGTACAGATGGATAGATATAGAAATAAAGATGTGAATGTGTAGAAATATATTTCCTAGCTCTGTCTGTGAGAGGGCCAAGAGCTCATATCTTGATTTCTTAAGTAAACGAAAGCAGAACCCTTTGGAGAAAGAAAGACTGATTCCAAGACTAGGACAGGGAAAGTACAAGATGAGCCTGGAATAATCTTTTGTTGCCAGAAAGGAAAGAAGTGCTCAAAAAACCTGCGCATGTCAAAGGGTATGGGTGCCAACTTGAAGGGGCTCCCAACAGCCAAATCTGGGACAATTTGAGCTGTAAAATAAATAATCAGAGTAATGGATTATAACCCATAGAATAACATCAATTCTTTATGAGACCATACTGTTACATAAACAACCGAATGAGTAAATAAATGGGGGAGGCAAGGGCTCTTCCTTACAATAGAATTCCAATTAATAAACATAGAAGAAATGATGGGAGTAGAAAATCACCACTTGGCAAACCCCACAGTAAAACTTGTTGCAAGCCAGAATCATCCGTGGGGGCTAAAAGTAGTAGACAGAAGTATGAGAAACAGGATGTTTGCAAAGTCTCAAAGTTATCTTGCCACAACAGACTCGTTAACTACAAAGGGAAAACAGTAACTTTATGGTGAAGAAACCTGGCAGGCATGACCTGAACCAAGTGATCAAGGTCAGCGTCACCAGTGCTAAGTCACATAAACACCCTGTGCTCCCTGATACAATGCACAGAGTAGGGCGCAACATCACTTCCATGGCATTCTTGTCCAAAATGCAAACCACCAATCAAACTGCAAGGTCATTTGTCAAATCAGACAAAATGGGGGACATCCTGCAACAGGCCATAGAAGACAAAGAAAGGATAAGGAATTATCACCGATTGGAGGAGACTAAGGGGACATGAGAATAACATACAATGTGGGGTCCTCGACAGGATGCTAGGCCAGAAAAAGGACATCAGTGGTGGTGATACCCACCAGCCAAACTCGCCAGGAACACAGCCATGGTTGAGTAAGTTGGGTTCATTGCTTATCGCAACAAGGGAGAACACACTCCATGGAGCAACAGGAGGTGTTTCAGGAAGAGGAGGTTAGAAAGGGCTTCTTAAAAGGCTTGGGGCTCATTAGGTCATTTGGGGAGGGTTCAAGGAAGTGGGGCTTTGCTCTGGAATGGATGCTCTGGGGAAGCAGGGGCAAATCTGTGATTGCACATTGCAAGAAACCTTATCTGTAAGGCAGGAGGAATGAAGCAGGCTAAAGCTGTAGCTAGTAAAGCAGCACTTCTCATAGTAGCCAGGGTAGGGAGATGTTCCGTCATTTTTGTTTAAACAATGTTCATGATGTTGATTGTGTTCAGTGGACTTGTTTTGCCTTGATTTGTCATGGTCATAGAAGAGACTTGTTTGAGTTTGTGATCAAGGAGAACATGAAGGCCCAGCTGTGAGGGCCAGCCAGCTCAGAGCAGCATCAAGGGGAAGGCTGGACAATGCCAGGCTAGGTCCCAGCTCCTGTGGCCACTTTTCTCTTTCTCAAGTGGGACAACTGGTGAAATTCCAATAAGGCCTATTAGATTAGTGCATAACTATCTTGTCAATGTTAATTTCTTAGTTTCAATCACTGTACTATGGCCATGTAAGATGTTAACATTAGGGGAAGTTGGATGGAGGGACTCTGTATACTATTTTGGAACTTTTTTTGTGAGTCTAAAATTATTTCAAAATAAAAAGTTAAAAATTCAGCTCAGTACATGAAGCAGAAATTGGTTTAGCACCAGGTGCAAAAGCTGGCTTGCATATTGGGATTGTGCTGTATAAAACACGGCACATTCCCAAAAGAAAAGCATTACCTATACGACAGGATAGTCCCAACTATGAGAAACGCTGAGAAACAGAGCTGGATTAAAAGGAAGGGTCAAGTCTGCCATTTGGGGTTTACTTTAGGGTGATGCTCATTGAGTAGAAGCACCATGGCACCATTTTCATCATCTCTGCTCTTTCTGTCCCTTTCTTTCATTCAATTTGCCCAAATGAATGTGCCTGTATTAGAACCAGGGCTGCCCCTACTACACTGGAAGGCAGTAGAAACCTGGGGTTCACATACTAATTAAATTTCCCAGAATGAAAGGCCATTTGTGTTTACACTGGAAGGACTTTTGGAGCCCCCATTAGAATGGATGAATGTTCAG